ATGCAGAAAGGGATAGCGGTTGCGGGTGGCGACATTGTCCAAGTCCCTTTTGTCATCACATGGACGTCAGTCACCAGCGGCAACTATTGAGACTGCGTGTAAAGGCGAGGCCCATGGGTTTTAAATTTGATGGATGATGCCTATCTGAAGCATTTGCTTAAACACGGCCTTAGCGACAGCCAGATAGGCAGGCGCGAGGTGGCGGAAACGAGAATACACAAAAGGACCGGTGGAGTAAATGTGATGAACAACATCGTGTGGCTCGGTAGTAGCGCGGAAGATGGGACAGGTGAAGCCATGGTACTGCGCAAGGAGCTGCCGAAATTGACAATAAGGTTCAGAGTCAAGGATGGCAAGTTGTCGAGAACTCTTATCGAAGTAGAAAACTCGGAGAGGCAGCTTGGTGGTCTGGTCGCGTAGAGAGAGAGAGAGAGGGAGAGAAAAATAAGCTTCATTGTATAGGTCGCATCCAAAATTTTCAGTAAAATGGCTCCATTCACCGAGACCAAGGCATAATTTAACAAGCAATACTCTAGATATATTACATAACATCCGTATATAGCAGGGAGCCAGATCTTATCGTAGCTTCTGGATTTCCGTTTCCTTAAATGTGATGTAGCACGTTAGGAATGTAAGTAAAAATGCTTATACGCCGATGTACGGCAGAACATGTGTCGGAAGCTGTGGTGAATAGTACGGAAAGATATCACAGCCATTAGTTCAGAGTAGAGTGCGTGAGCAGCCTCATCAAGAATGCAATCAGCAATTTGCTTAACCATTGCAAAGAACCGCTGTACTATGGCAGCAGCCAAAAAAATCGGAAAACACACTGGACTGAGTTCTGATTATTCAATCGAAGACCATTGGCTAATGATCATGCTGGGATGTGGTCCAGGCCATCTTTCAGTTTCTGGACCTGTGTCTCAATTTTGAGAGCATGACCAACAACCATAGACTCAGCATATTTTACACACAAACTTTTACTTGGAGATCGTAGGTCATCAGCGTGGAGAGAGAAGAGGTGATGGGGATAAGGGGATGTTGGAAAGCACCGTTGATTTTTGCTTGCAG